ATAACATGGACCATATAAACATGAAGGTCACACTTCATAACGTAACAACAAGAGATGAGATCTACACCCATGATTTTAATTTGGAAAGTTTGTTTGGTAGCAGGGGAGATGATCTCTGCTGTAGGCTGAACCAGAGAAGCAGAAAACATCCATGATAGAAGGTAATGCCTGCTTGTGTAGGGGAGCTGACAGCCAGGAAGCAGTGCTGAGAAATCAGAAATATATACAGGCCTCTTGGATGGGTTCAGATCACTCAGCAACTGCTCTCACTTTCTGATCTTGACTTCTTTTTGACCAGTTTTATGTGTGACATGTGGGGTAGGGGTGTGAATATGAATGAGAACTGGAGCAGGTGTATGCATGTGACAGCACACATATGAAGGTCAGAAGACAGCTTCACATGTAGGAAGGTCCTCACCTTCCACCGTGAGACAGTGTCTTTTTGTTGTTTTACTACTATGTAGGCACACTTCCAAGGAATCGCCTATCTCTACCTGCCATATCCTACAAGTGCTAGAGCTACAGACAATCCCGCTCCATTAGCCATTTATGTGGGTTCAGGGCACTCAAATTCAGGTCCTAACACTTATGTGGCATGCATTTTAACCCAGGGAATCGTCACCACAGCTTCTAATCCTGACTTCTTGCTCTGCTTTTCTTTCTAGGGGGCTGTAAAGTATCTGGCCTTTTCCTGAAAAATAGGAGAACATGACGGTAGAAGTGACAATTGCAATGATCCCTGTGTTGTACACAGTAGCAGGTGACAAATCTGGCTACTACATTGGGCGGACACTATGGTTTGGCCTCATCTATTTATACAGCATAGTGATGTATGTGGTCCAGTTGCCCTGGAACAAAATCCATGAAGAGTTCGACTGCCATGGAAATATCAGCCGCTGTTGTGTTGTGGAGTGTTTTGAACAACTATTTAGCATTCCTATCACAGGAATGTGGTACTACTTCTACTTCCTCTTCTTAGCCTTGTTCTTCCTCATGGAATTCTTCATGCTTCAGGTTCGGCATACTCACATCAAGGTAAAGGTGAAGTCCAAGCAGGAAACAGACAAAACAGTGGACATGGAGAAGGACTTCATGGAGGCATTCATGAAGCAGAGTCAACCCCAGAAGATACCCATCCTGAACTTCCACCAGAAGAAGACACTCTTATATCTGTATCTGTTCCACGCCCTCCTGCAGGTCAGCATCCAGACTGTGTTTCTATGCCTGCTCTTATTCAAACACCTGCCCATAGTGAGTCAGAGCAAAAGTCACTGCAACACCAACAGCTGCTCTACCCCCCTTCACTGCCTGCTCAGTAAAACCTCGGCAAAGAGGATGACCGTCTATGGCCTCATCACCTTGTCCATCACAAACATCGTCCTCGGGGCAAGCTTCTTCATCTACAGCATCTATCACTACCTACTGGAAGAGCATTCACCTTCCAAGATTCCAATTGACTGATTTTCTAAGAGATAGCACACTTCATAAAGTCCTTTCTCCTTCACTCAAAGAACTTCATGTTCTTCTAAATTTTGTTGTTTCAGAACAACAAATTCTTCCTTCTAACCTTCTTTGGGTCTTGATTCTAATAAACAAACATTTGCCAAGGATGGTGACACACACCTTTAATCACAGCACCAGGGAGGCAGAGCAATGTAGAATTCAAGGCCAGTCTGATCTACATGGTGAGTTCTAGGCTAGCTAGGGCTACTTAGTGAGATCTTACCTTAAAAATAAGACATAAATAAAATATGATTAAAAAAATTCACTGAGACTGGAGAGATGGCTCAGAGGTTAAGAGCACTGGCTGCTCTTCCAGAGGTCCTGAGTTCAATTCCCAGCAACCACATGGTAGCTCACATAATGAAATTTGGTGCCCTCTTCTGGCGTGTAGCCATATATGCCACAACACTGTATACATAATAAATAAATAAATAAATCTTTGAAAAGAAAGAAAGAAAAAAAAAAGAAACATTCACCATTTGTTTTTATCTCTAGTACTAAGCTGGGGTCATCTGACCCTGAGGCAAGAACATATCCACATAATGACCACCAGGCCTTGGTGCACACCAGCTCATTTCCTCGACATGGTCACCTGTAAGGTAACTTCAGTTCCTTTTTCTGAAGCACCAGAAGATAAGTAGTGAAGGCTGCTAGCAGGCAGCAAGGAAGCCACTTGAAACCTGGGTCTGTCACCTCTCAGACCTTCACTCTTCAGGAGCCTTCAGATGTCAGCTGCTCAGTGGGGTCAACTTTCCCTGTGGTAAAGATCAATTGTAGCTGAAAGCAGAACTGATTCTCACTTTCTGAAAAGGTCTGGTGGAAGATGAGAATAATGTCAACCAACAGGACAGTGTGGCAAAGTATGGTCACACCCTTCTCAGGCCAAGGTTGCATCACCTTCCTCTCCAGTTGGAGATGAAGAATCTGGGTGCCAGTTCCTACTTAGGTATCCATACCCAAGGGTGATTCTCTAGGAAACGTATCCAGGTGGTGGGGGAGGGGGTAAGACTTCTACTCACCCGTAAGCAACAAAACAGAGGATGTCAAGTTCCACTAACAGACAAAGGCTGGCTCCACAGGATGATCACACTTTCATTACCCAAAATGGACAGGGCTGGAGTGAGGGCCTGGTGCCAGGAGAGACCCAAATGCAGAAAGCAGGGGAAAGTGCAGGAACAAAGAGGTGGTCCTGGAAGCCACTTGGGTATAAAGTGATGTGGCAAGCCAGGGGCATGCTACCCTGCCAGCTCCTCCTACAAGCTTGAGGACGGGTGTGGTACTTACAGTCTTCACAAAAACTTCCATAACTAGCGAGCTGCCCTAGGGCTGCTCTCCCACGATCATGTATCAGTATGAGCCACTAGTGGGCAGAGATGGCTCTGATAATCTCAGAAAGCAAACACTAGAGGGAGAGGGCAGTAAACGGCAGGAAAGGAGGCTAACCAACGACTCAGGAGTCACAAGCTGCTCAACCCCAGAATCAGCTCAGGGGAATCTTCTCAAGGGAAGGGCCACCCTTCTCCACACCAGCCAGACTAAAACAGAGGAAAAGTGGGAACAAAAATCTATGTAGAAATATCTGAGACTAGTTGCCAAGCAGCATAATCGAAGACTGACTAAACTGGTATCCCAAATTACGGCGTTTTTATTAAGAAAATAGGCATGTGAAGGCATCACTCCTGATTTACACAAGTATCTTAAACAACAGAACTGTATCTAAGTTGAACAGCACTTAAACCTAGCATGTCCAAAGGCCTGGGTCTGACCCACAACACCTTAAAACCAAGCCAAATCAATCAATCAAATACAAAGTGGGTATTACCTTTTTTACTTAGAATGTATTAAGTATATTTTAAAAACCCAACTTTAATCAAGGCCCCCAACTTGATTCTGCTTCTAGCAGCATGCATTATTTACCACTGGTTTTGTCAAAAATTTTTTTTCATTTCCTGTCCTGTGTGCATGTACAAACATGCATGCATGCACATACTACTACATGAGACTTAGCTTCACAAACCAAAAAAAAATTAAAAATATTATAGATATAACATATACACAAGCACATAAAACTAGTTTATCAAATCAAATGTACATTTTTAGTCTTTTTGAGACAGGGCTCACTATGTATTCCTGGATGGCCTGGAACTCCCTCTGAAGATCAGGATGGTCTAGAACTCAGGAGAATCGCCTGCCTCTGCCTCCTGAGTACTGGGATTAAAGGCGTGCACCACCACACCCAGTTTAACTATGGTTTTAGTTTAGTTTAAACATGTACTGCTTCATACATGCATCTCAATAATGTTGCTGTTGAGTATTTTTTGTTTTGTGCTTTTGGATGGGGTCTCACTATATAGCCCTGGATGGCATAACCAGCCTGTAATGTTTCATAATAGCAAGATTAAATCACTAACCACTCGGAAGCACAGACCTGCAGTAAGACATGCAATCTCCCAGCACCGCATCACTGAATGTGGACATAACATTCCACTGTATATGTCTACACACCTGTAACATTGTCTGATGCTGTTCACAACACATGTGCTACCATGATGAACTGCCTAAGTCTTCCCCTTTTGTCTGAAAAGCTAAATAAAACATTAAAATCTACCTTCTGTCCTCAAGATTCTACTGGCCCCAAAACAGGCACTGAAGATAAACAATTTGAGAAGTTGTACATAATTTCTCCAAAATATCAATGACAATGTTATAACTAAAACGTGACTGGTTCTGCGGCTGGAGAGATGACTCAGCAGTTCTTTCAAAGCACTTGGATTCAGATCCCAGCACCCACATGGAGTCTTACAACAGTCTGGTAGCTCCAGCCTCAGGGTCCTACACCTTCTTCCGGCCTCTGAAGCTACCAGGCACACAATGCACTCACAGATATTCAAGTAAAACACTCATAAGCACAAAAATAAGTAAATCTTTAAAAGCAAACATTCAGTCTCTCTTAAAGAAGACAAAACAGAGTGGCTATGATTTTAAGTGCCAGCAGAAAGGTGCAAATATGAAATCAAATAATATCTGAGCTCAGTAAGAAACCAAGTTTTGCCAGGCATGGTAGCGCATGCCTTCAATCCCAGCACTAGGAGGCAGAGGCAGAAGCCGGCAGATCTCTGTGAGTCTGAGGCCAGTGTGGTCTACAAAGTGAGTTCCAGGACAGCCAGTGCTACACAGAGAAACTGTCTTGAAAAAAAAAACCAAACAGCATTGATGTTGTTACAGAGAACCCAGGTTCAAGTTTCAGCACACCCATGGTGACTCACAACCATATGTATCTCCAGTTCTAGGGAATCTGGCACCCTCTTCTGGCCTTTACAGGTACAAAACACACATGTGGTACCATACATAAAATTTAAAAAAATACATTTTTACTAAGTCAACATCTCCACCTTTCCTCTAGAGAAATCACACCTTATATATTATACATATGCATTCTTTTCAAATATCACCCTTCATGTCTGCTTTGTTTGCAACCCTCCAGACTTTTAACTTACGTTTTTATAATGGGAAGAGCAAACAGATGTCTCTAAAATGGGCTCCAAATCTCCTTGGTGGCTGTCATTATTACCTCCCTTTGTATCATCAAGTTGGTGCCCTTTTCTGAGCCTTATATCTGGCTCTGGAGTCCTGGTGCACCCCAATCGGTGTTCTGCTGGCTCGTTCATGGGATACCAAAGCCTTTCTTACAAAGTGATCTTTTGTTCTGTCCCTTCTTCTTGGGAGAATGATATTGAGTTGACCCTAAGGAGAGAAAAGTTATACACATGAGTGCTGGGAAAAACACATGAGCTACATTATTATACCCTCAGGGAATGGAAAATTTAACCAAAAAAAGAGCAAAATTCTCAAAAAGTTATACCCACTGCTAAAAGATTGCCAAAAATCTATCAACCAAAAAGGACATGTGTAATATTTTCACTTATATTAATTGTAAAATATGTGGTTCTATGAATTTATGCAATACAATTACTAGAAAGTATTCAAAACCATGCCCCTGGCATAGAAACACATAAAGAAGAACTAAGGATTTATCAAAAAGACTTATATGCTCTATCTATGCCTTTTTTTTAACCCTATCATTTTTTTTTTTCAGTTAAAAGCATGCCTAACTGAAGCTGGGCATAGTAGTGCAGTCCTTTAATCCCAGAACTCAGAAGACAGAGGCAGGGGAATCTCTGAGAGCTTGAGGCCAACTCTACAAAGCAAGTTCCAGGCCAGCTAGGGCTGCAAAGAAAGATCCAATCTCAAAAACAAAATGTAAAAAGAATACATGTAAGCTTATATATTATGCCATTTTACATATCCAATTTCATTTAAATAATTCCAGGATTTCATTTTATTAAATTTCAATTTGATTTTAACAAATCTCATTACATAATGACCAGGGTTATTTTTCTTTTATAATGAGAAAACCAAAACTCTGCACACACTTTTTATAAAATAGGCCAAAAATCTCTAAATTCATGCATATTTGTATATATTAATTAATAGTAACTAATTAATTCATGTGTATTACCAGAAACACTGTATATTCAATATGCCTAATATCTGACACTTGGTCACTCTGGTCTCTAATTAAAGACTACTATGAAAAGAAGAAACTTAGGACCAGAGCATATCCCTTTTATATCTGCAATCCCAGGAGATGCCATGCATATAATCTAAGAAGCAGATGAAAGGTATTTCAATGTTCTTGAGTGGTAAAAACTTCCATAGATCTTTCTCCTAACTAGTCTGTGATAATTTTATTCCCCAGAAGTTCTAGCTTTCCTGTTCTCATCTAACTCTTCATTCATAGCATGCAAATGTACTTTAGACAATCAGTTGAATAACAAAATAGATTACCAGAGTTAATCCACCTAGAAGGGAAGATTCAAGAATATACTGTGCACTAACTGCTAAGATACAACGTTCTTACTGGGGAAAGGAAAGAGAGGAACAAAGAAGGCCTAGAGTCCATAAAAACCAGGCAATGCTGTACTGTGTATGTGAGTCGGGTATGTAAGTACAAGTTATACTGATGTAGACACAAACTAAGAACTAGCCAAAAAATTAGTCTCTAATGACTTCAGCTTACTGCAGGATTTCTCTAGTTACTTTCAAAGTTTAGGAAGCAAGAAGCACAAGAAGCTAAAAAAATGGCTCAGCAATTAAGAGCTCTTACAGGAACCAGGTTCATTTCCCAGCACCTGGTGACTCATAGCAATCTGTAATGCCAGTTCCAGAGGATCTGAAGCCCTCTTGTGGCACCAGAGGTACCACACACATGCACATGGTGCACATACATACATGTAAGCAAAATACTCATATGCATAAATTGTTTTTAAGTAACGACGATTAACTTCCACCTAAGAGATGAACCCTAGACTACACTATAGACAAAGAGTAAGCCAAGAAAGACTACAACTTCATCTTGGTGGCTGGGATACAGTTAACTCTGTCACAGTACAACTACAAGCTGACCGTGTACATGTGAGAACATGGAGAGCTTGGCAAGGGAAGTAACACTGGTCAAGTGGCTAACAGTCAAGGTCAAGCTAGAGTGAGCCAGAGATGGACAGAAGGGTTTTGATCACCTCTAACCTGATAGGCAATGCATGAACAGTGGTATAATTATTTCCTTGGTTGAGCCTGTGATACAAGCACAGTGTGTGTGGGGGGGGGGAAGATATGCTCCATTAATTCAGCCCAAGATATCTCGAAAAACTCAGCCTTTGTCCAGTTTCTCTATAAAACCCCTAAGTAAAGAATCTGAAAGATTTCCCCACCCCCTTGGGAACATCCTCCCTTCTAAGAAGTTTCCTTTTTAGGCAATGTTTTTTTTTTTTTTTTCCCGGGGGGGGGGGGTGGTCAAGCAGGGTTTCTTTGTGTAGCCCTGGCTGTCCTAGAATAGATATACAGACCGGGCTGGTCTTGAACTCGGAGATCTGCCTGCCTCTGCCTCTCAACTAATAGACAGAATTAAAGGCATGTACCACCACAGCTGGCATCTGTGTGGAGTTCCAGGCCAATCAAGGCCATATAATGAGACCTTGTATCAAAATGAGGAAAAAAGAAAAAGGGGGGAGGCAGTTTAACCTCCAGGTTACCAAAAACTTAATAAAATGAAATCTCCTCATCTTAGAAGGTTCTAGAGAATCACATTTTACTATAGTCTGTCTATTTACACTCTACCTACTTGAAGCAAATGAATTCCTACTAGAGTGCAAGACCTTGAAACCAAAAGCAAACAAATCTAGTAAAGTAATAGATAAGAAAGGTTTCTTTTACCAACAATACAGTTTAATTCTGTCCTTGAGAATAAGTACCTAAATGAGAGGTAAATGAGGGATATAAAAATTGTTAAGGAGAGCCGGGCAGTAGTGGCTTACACCTTTAATCCCAGTGCTTGGGAGGCAGAGGCAGGCAATCTCCAAGTTTGAGGCCAGTCTGGTCTACAGATTGAGTTCAGGACAGCCAGAGCTATTCAAAGAAACCCTGTCTTGAAAAACCAAAAAAAAATTGTAAAGAGACAGAAAAATTTTCAGATTTACAATAGCCAGGACTGGAGAGGTGGCTGAGCTGTTAAAAGCACCCATAACGATCTGACTCCAGTTTCAGTGGTCCCTTCTTCGGGCCTCTGCAGACATCAAGTAGATGCACATGCATACTTGTGAGCAAGATACACATACACATGAAACAAAACAAATAAGCCTATGATAATCAAATGAACCATTATAAGTTAGAAAATTCATAATGTGATTGGAGCATAAAATGTATATATGGACAGCACAAGAGAAGAGAGCAGAAACAACCAGAGGAGACAGAAGAGAGAAACCATATTAGAACTGGGTGCTAGAGACAGTTCAATAAAGGTTGGCAGTACATACTGATCTTGCAAGGATCCAAATCTGGTTCTCACTTCCATGTCCAGCAGTCAACCCTCTGTTGACTCCAGCTTGGGGTGAGGGGTAAAGGGGGCACCTCTGGCCTCTGAAGGCATCTGCACTCATGTACAGACTCCACGCAGAAAAACTTGCATATACATAATTTAAAATAACAAAAATGAATTCTTAACAAGGATGAGTGCTGGGGCTGGATAGATAGCTCAGCAGTTAAGAACACTGGCTGCTCTTCCAAAGGAACCAGTTTCAATTCCCAGCACCCACGTGATGGCTCACAATCATCTGTAACTGGTCTCCAAGAGTATCAGGCATATATGAGGTACATAGACAAACATGCAGGCAAGCATCTATATACATAAAACAGTAATATACAATAATAATAATAATAATAAGTGCTATTTAAATTATTTGAGGTTTTCTTCCATACATACATTATATATACATATAGATATATATCCATATATATGTTAAAAAAATAAAACTCCCCTGACTCCAACACTCAGAAAGGATTCCTCCCCAAAGTAGGACATCAAGACTTCTTGTTCCCTAGCTACCTGTTTGCAGTTATCAAGCATAATTCAGAAATCAAATGCCTTTATCAGCTCTGCCCCCACTTGATGAAGTCCTATCTTAGGCAGGAAACACTTGAAAAAAAAAAAAAAATCAGTCCTAAGAGTTCTTGAGGCAGCTTAAGAGGCAGTGGTTCCACACCAGAAAGGACACAGGCTACCCATCATCTGTGAGAAACGTTGTCATTTTTTGTTTTTGTTTTCTACAAGGCAGGATTTCTCTGTGTAGCCCTGCTGTCCTAGAACGTGCTTTGTAGACCAGGCCGGCCCCAAACTCAAGAGATCCACATGCCTCTGACTCCCAAGTACCAGGATTAAATGTGTGCATCATCACACTTGACTGAAAAGATTTTGTCCAGGGTGAGAAACAGAAAAACAATTTCAAAAACAGGTGAAGATGCCCAAGCCTAAAAAGAACAGAATATGCCAGGGACATAGCTCAGTGGTAGAACACTCACCCAAACACAGATTGGTCCCTAGCTCCAATCTCAAATATCCTACCCCAATAAAAAGAACAGTCTTTGGGAACAGAATCCAGATACAGGATAACTGGACTCAAGTTTGCAGGAGAAAATCAGGAAGATAGTTAGTAGGATTAGAACAAAAATTAAACACTGGCCTCAAAAGTGATTCCTTCAAAGAAAACAGCATTTGGATCATTCTGCATAGCAATTTACAATTTAGACTAGGGTACTGGTTGAAATCAATAGAGCAATTGAACAGCAATTAGGAATTTAGCAACTTAATGTGATCCAGATTAAAAAAAAAAAAAAAAAGCCCCGCATAAAAGCAAGCATATGGATCCCAGGGTAACTGAAGGCACATCCCTAACTCTAACTTCCTAAGGAAGACTACCAAAGGCTTGTGGGGATTAGAGGAAGCCCTGAGTGAATATGTATCATTAACAAGGACCCCAATGCTTCACACCATGGGAACTGGCAAAGCCTTCCCCAGGCCAGGGTTCAGGGAATGGGCAAAGCCTCCTTTGGGTTTAGCATCACCAGCATCCTGCAGCTTTCTCCTGCCAAGTGGCTGTACCCAAGACTGCCCCTCTACAAAGACCTCCTACTGAGGCAAGCCTTCCTGGGCTGTATGTAATAAAGAGGTTCGAGGCTGTGTTGTAGGATCAGAACAAGCACAGCCCATTCCCAGCTTTCTTGTACACATCTCTGTATCTGTCCTTGCTTCGTTCCCTAGCTGCCCCAGTCAGGTTTCCAGGATCAAGTGGTTCAGGACACAGAAGAGTTAAACAGACCTCATTAAAATAAGCCTGTTAATAACTAAGCAA